AAAAAATGCATTAAAACCTCCTGAGATTATTCATGGATCTAATTTGCTCAGATTAATGCCTTTGCCTTTACAAACCACTGATATTCGGTTCACGAGCCTCGCTCGGATTTTCTACGCTGCAATTGCAAACTGTGCAACTTGAGAGGATAAAGGAATGCGCTATCTGTACATACACAAGGTTTACAATACACACAGCAGTAGAAGCCACATGTACATGGTTATACCACTGAGTTGCCCACAGCTGACATCTGGGGGAAGCCACTGCATCAAGCAACTCCTTCCGCTGAACTGTGCCAGCTGGTCGATATAAGAGCAACTGTGCCTGAGTTTTGATTTTCCTCTTCCCTCCCTGTGCCTTTTTCCTTGTGTGTCATGTTTTTGTTTTTTTAATTGTAAGCCTATGGGAAGGGGTTGTCTTGTCTAGCTTGTATGCAAGTCACTCTGGGAGCCTTTTTGGTTGATGAGTGGGGTAAAAAAAACCAAAAAACGTTCCAGGTTTGTTTCCTGGAGAAGTTCAAGGTACTTTGCCTAAAACTGTTTACATTATGGGCTTGGGAAACTTAAGGGGACATCTTTTCCCAGTACAGTGGTACCTCGGGTTAAGTACCTAATTCGTTCTGGAGGTCTGTTCTTAACCTGAAACTGTTCTTAACCTGAAGCACCACTTTAGCTAATGGGGCCTCCTGCTGCCGCTGTGCCGTCGGAGCACGATTTCTGTTCTCATCCTGAAGCAAAGTTCTTAACCCAAGGTACTATTTCTGGGTTAGCGGAGTCTGTAACCTGAAGCGTATGTAACCCAAGGTACCACTGTAAGCACCTTTGCACACGCTGAGATCTAGAAGCAACTATTAATTCTGAGTGCTATATAATGGGTTTTGGAGTGTGTGTGTTTTTTTGTTTTGTTTGTTTTTTGCTGCTACAGAGCCCTGAGATTGTGGAACATTACCTACAAGAAATCCACCAAAAGAAGAGCCAAAGAGGAAGAATGATTTCATTTCTGAACCGTGTCCTACAAAGCATTTTGAAGCAATCTCACAATAAAATAAAAACACATATAAAACACTTGCATACATATTTAGAAAATGAAAACAAGCGTATCTGGGGTTTTGTTTTGTTTTTTTTTTAAAAAAAACAATTAAAATGACTGGAATACATAAAATCAATTTCAAATCCAATGGATACCGACTGGTGGAATGAAAACCTCCACTTTAGAAACACTTGTTGCAAGACCAAAGTCTTCAACGCAAAATTTGCACCGCCTTTCGGATATGCAAAGGCCCAACGTTGAATTACCAACAGCTTCGCTGAACTTCGAGATGCCCGTCAGCGCGCAACAACCAATAGGGAAACAAAGAGGCGGCGCCTCATCCTCCAATCGAAACGAAGTTCCAGACTTTTCCCGGGCCACGCCCAGCGGGAGATATGAGACGCTCGTCACGTAGCTTTCCTTCCCCCCCCCGCTCTGTTTTACCCGCTGCTCCCCCCTCCCCTCCGCGAGGCCCGGTAACCATGGAGACGTCAGAACTAGGAAAAAGACGGGCTTTGGGGGCCTAGTATAGGCCTCTCTCGCGGGTGGCGAGGGCTGCGCTGAAGCAACGCGCGGATCTAACTTGGGTGGGGGGGGTGGCAAGACCCCCTGCAGCTCAAAGAGGGGCATTCCCGGAAGTGAGCGAGCTTTATTATTGGCGCCGTAAATAGTGTTGCACAAAAACCCTTCCTATCTTACAGAAGTCGGAGCATAATCGGATCCCTGCTCTCACAGGGGCGAACCAGACGCCTGTGGGAAACGTGCAAGCTGGATCTGAGCACAAGAGCACCTTCCCCCTCCTGTGGTTTCCAACTTAATAAAATAAAATAATAATTATAATACTTTTATATTATTTATTAAATTTGTATACTGCCCTATAGGGACGCAGGTGGCGCTGTGGGTAAAAGCCTCAGCGCCTAGGGCTTGCCGATCGAAAGGTCGGCGGTTCGAATGCCCGCGGCGGGGTGCGCTCCCGTCGTTCGGTCCCAGCGCCTGCCAACCTAGCAGTTCGAAAGCACCCCCGGGTGCAAGTAGATAAATAGGGACCGCTCTGGCGGGAAGGTAAACGGCGTTTCCGTGTGCTGCGCTGGCTTGCCAGATGCAGCTTTGTCACGCTGGCCACATGACCCGGAAGTGTCTCCGGACAGCGCTGGCCCCCGGCCTCTTGAGTGAGATGGGCGCACAACCCTAGAGTCTGTCAAGACTGGCCCGTACGGGCAGGGGTACCTTTACCTTTTATACTGCCCTATACCCATAAGTCTCAGCACAAAGTTACAATGCAAAAACACAACATACATGATGACAATCATTTAAACGACAAGCAATGGTCATGTATGCAAACAAACAAAAAAAAAGCACTTCTCAACAAAAGCCCTGAACAAATGCAAATGCAAAAATACAAATCAACATCTAGCATTTAAAAACCAATTTAAAGCAACCCCACCTCCCAAATGAAAGAACACCCACCCAGCTATTTTCCCTCGCGGGGTCTCAGGGGCTTGCGGATGAAATAAGAACAGTTAAAAGCATAGAAAGAAACTCCAAACAATCATGCACACGCAATCTGTTAAACACACACACATATAATACTGCCTCCACTGTGGAGGCAGGAGCTTAGCCATCATTGTTAGCAGCCATTGATAGATCCCCTTCTTCATTGGTTTGCCTAATCCTCATTTAAAGCTGTTGTAATTTCTGGCTTACAACAAAACCACCTGAGTCGGTGGCCATCCCTGTCTCTCCAGTGGGAGTGAGTTCCATAGTTTTATGTACCATGTGAAGAAGCACGTTTCCACGTTTCATTACACACATTTGCGCAAATGCATATTGAATTCTGTGGGTGTTGATCTTCATGTGTGCTCACTGTTCTCTTTAAGATCCCTTATCAATACTTGGCATTCCCTTAAAAGTAATTATTAACCTGGCCATTAATCCTCAATGCTCACGTAATCCCAGCTGAAACTAATCCTGAATCCATGTAGCTGCATTTATACCCATGTGCATTTTGGTTGCCTCGTCCTCTGTTATTCCATGCTGCCGAAAATCTGACTTTAAACTCATTTAAAGACAGTAAATGGCTCTCTTTTTTGGTGGTTGTTTGCTATACGTTTTGTACTGCATACAGAGAGGATGGTGCTATAACAGCAAGAACTCCTTCTAATAGTGAACTCTGGTGGTTAAACAGAAAATGCAGACTATGAAGAATCCGAAAATAAAAACAAATCTTGTGTGCTGGAATGGTGTGGTGGAAGTGGACATGTGGTGCAGTAATAAAACATTTAGCACATTTATGAAGCTAAGTAGGGCCTCGCATACTCTTGCTTTGGTAATTGTATTAGAAGGCGGAAATTCACTGCAACATTATTTTTTTGCAGGTCCCACATGGATGATGATGTAGGGTTGCTATCTTGAAGATCTTGCTTCAGCAGTGCCTGCTCTCAGAGTCAGCAGTTTGGACAAAAGAATGATGTCCAGGATGTTCAGTGGATGTTTCTGAATGGGAGCTAATGGTTGGGAGATCACTGGAGAGCTTTCGGGAATATTCTGAATCAGAGAGTTATCAGGGCTGGGAGGGAACACATCACCCCCACCCCCTGCCCAGTTTATGTGAAGTGTGTGGGAATGAATGACAGAGGAATTCGGGGGAGGGGGGAGAGGGAGAGAAAGAAAGAAAGAGACTGGGCGGGAGAGAACTGAGTTGAGATTAAATTAAGGAATCATCCTCTGGGGAGATGACATAAGACAGTAGATCTGTTGCTCTGTAGAAGTGCAAGTGGTGTTGTGTATTTGTACCTATATCAAATACTGGAAAAAGCTGGTTTTCACTACTCATCAAAGGAACCAAATCCAGACAGCAGGACCCAAGGAACTTGCCAGTGCTATTAGACAGTAAATACAATTGTTAATAACTCTCCTTTTTCTGTTCTGAATGGGAAGTGGAGATAAAAACAATGTAGTGACCAGCAGACAGCTATCGAGGTTAAGCACCCCAGTGCTCCGAAGGGTCCCTCACTGGTCTGTCCCTGCCTGCCACTCACTGTGCAGGCATTGCTTGAGAACCACTCTCAGCTCCCATCTTATCTGCACCTGTCCCCTCCTTGTTGCCTCACCTGGCAGGTGCAAATGGGCCAATGGCCAAAGCCAAGCATTCTGGGTCAGGTAGGTGGTGAGGGAAATGCCAGAGCCACTGTTGTGCATTGTCACAGGGACCTGAAAGGCTTTTAAAGTGCAGAATTCTTAAAATAAATAAATCCCAAGATGAAAAAAATGTTTCTAGCCACTGTGAAATTGCAAACATCCCTTCCCCGAGCACCTTGGAGACTGCGTAATTGTGGAAGAGTTATCGTCAAGTAGGTTCAGGGAATTGGTATGACATATAGAGCGTGGAAAATGGCATTACTGTACCATAGAGTCAGGAGGCGTGAAATGGGCAGAGGGAAATTGCATGACGACCGCTTCCCTTTTAATTCCCCGTAGGAACCCCGAACACCTACATTTCATTTCACTTTTTGGAGGGGTTTGTGATGCCTTTAATTCTAGTCATTTTGCCATCAGTATGCATTAGTTAATATAATAACTTTTCCAATGTGGATCGTTTTTGTAAATCAGCTTCGCCTTCCCCCTTTTCCATCCCTCTCCCCCTTCTCGACAGCTTGCAAAAATTCACAGAAGGCGACCCAACAATCCCCGATAGCGCGTGCTCCGCCTCCCTCTCCGGTGCGCCGGCCGTTCCTGGGATCACCTTTTCTGCGCGCAACGCTTCCCGGATCCCCGGGCAGTGGCTGCTTTGCGATGTGACTCAGGCTGGTGCATCTGGGTCACCAGGGCGCGAATTAATTGCAGCAGCGACTCAGGACGAGTCCGGCTTTTCTTCTTATTTAAAGAGCCTGCTGTTTTGTCAGTCCCAACCAGCGCGTTTCTTTCACCGGCAGCTCCGCCTCTTCCCATGTGATGGTTTCTGTTTTGCTTTCCACCTACAGACGATCGGCAGGATCCCCTCCGGTTCGCCACGTCTGCTGCTCACTTGCTGGCTGCTTCGCCTTAGGGAATTGGTTTGGAAAATTAATTCTGTGAGTATAGAGGAGGGCTCAAAGCTGGCGCGAAGGAGCGCACACATCCACCCGCCCGGTTGCAAAAAAAGCGCTGCGCTTTGCTGAAAACTCAAAGGAGCGAAGAGTCTGGTGACACCTTGAAGGCCTGCAGATTGATTGCAGTAGGAGCTTTCCCGAGCATCCGACCAGCTGGCCTCGAATCCTCAAGCTTTTCCTACAACGAACCGTGGCCGACTTCCGGGTGTCACAAGGCTCTTGTTTTTTTGCTGCAGCAGACAGTCACTGGGTTGGCTACCCTTCTGAATATGGGAAGGGTGGGCTCTAGTGGTTAGAGAAGGGAAAGCCGGCAGCTTGGAGTCTTGTTTCTCTTTTGGTTTGCTAACAACTTGTTGGATTGGGTGAGGTGAGACATGGGGCTCCGTCCCGCATTTGTGGGTGCAGAAGGAATCTTTCATGTTAAGTCAAAGCTACATTTGCTTGCTTAGTCATCTGCTGTTCGGAATCACTAGTGGAGAGATTGCTGTTGCAGCAGGCCCTGCTTTGGAACTTGCTTCCTTGGGAGGCAGTGATGTCCATTAACTTGGATGGCTTTAAAAAAGGATTAGTGAAATTCATGGAGGAGGAGGAGGAGGCTATTAGTGGCTACTAACCATAATAGCTAGGCTCTGCCTTAACTGCCAGAGGCAGCTATGCCTCTGAATATTATTATTATTATTAATTAAATCTGTGTACTGCCCTATACCTGCAAGTTTCAGGGCGGTTTGCAAGATAAAATCACAATATAAAAACGTAACCTGGCTGGCCACTGTGAAAACAGGGTGCTGGACTAGATGGGACTTTGGCCTGATCCAGCAGACTGTTCTTATTACTGGCAGCTATTTTGTAGATTCTTGTAGCTTGCTCATTTACTTTTGTAGCGTTTTTCTAATTTAATTGATTTCCTCTAATTATTCTGTAGTTTTAAGCACGTGCTGTGCTTGGAATGCTCTCTTTGAATGGAAGAGCTTAGTAATAATAATAACAGCAGCAGCAGCAATAATAATAATAATAAAACAAAATAGTCTGCTTCTGATTCTCTTCCTGATTTGGAGGGATGCACATGTTTATATTAAGTGGTATGTTGAAAATCTCTAGAGTAAAATACTCATTTAGATAGTTGTCAGGAAGCAAAAGTGGGATAGAATCAATGGCAAGGAAAAGAAAGAGGGAAGTCAGGGGCGGGCCGAGGGCCACATTGCCTTCTGGGCAAGCTTCTGAGGGCCCCATGATAGTGGTGGGTGTGACCAGAGTAAAACATTAGCAGAACAATTACAGTGGTACCTCGGGTTACAGACGCTTCAGGTTACAGACGCTAACCCAGAAATATTACCTCGGGTTAAGAACTTTGCTTCAGGATGAGAACAGAAATCGTGCTCCCGTGGCGCGGCAGCAGCAGGAGGACCCATTAGCTAAAGTGGTGCTTCAGGTTAAGAACAGTTTCAGATTAAGAACAGACCTCCAGAACTAATTAAGTACAAACCCAAGGTACCACTGTAATGTAAATCTTACTATTGTGGAGAAGGCTAATGTCTACATCCACTCATGAACCCTGCTGTGTTCTCCATCCAAGGAAGAGGCATAATCAGAGTTCAAGAACACATTCCAGCCAGGCATAAACACTCAAGGAAGAGTGCAAAGGAGGGTTTAGGAGGAGATGTAGCTGGGGGTGTTTCGTTTTGCTTTAAATCAATCCCAGCACTTTTCAAACAGCTTTTCTTCTGCTTCTGAACAAGTAACTTCATCCCGCAAACTACGGTCATACCTCGGGTTATGAATGCTGCGGGTTGTGCGTTTTCGGGTTGCGGACCATGCCGAACCTGGACGAAGGTACTCAGATTTCGGCACATGCACAGAAGCGCGAAATGACCTCACACTCATGTCATCACACGCAGATGCGGCGCTTCAGGTTGTGAACACTGCGGGTTGCGAACGTGCCTCCCGCACGGATCACGTTCGCAACACGAGGTATGACTGTATTGCGACCTGTTTTTGAAAAAGAACAACTGTTTGAAATGTATTGGGCATAATTAAACAAAAAATAGCTGGCATCCCCAGTGGCGGAGGAACCCTCTCCAGCACCTGGGGCGGCGCAGCCCGTACGAACTGCTCATGTGCGGCGACCGTATGGACTGTGGGCGCCCTCAGCTGCTCTACAGCTGGGGGGGAGGCAGGGGCCATTTTGTCACCCCTCCCAGAGTGGCACCCAGGGTGGACCGCCCCCCCTTCCTATGCCACTGGGCATCCCTCCCCGTGACAGCATAACTGGTCATGCTTTGCAGCCTTACCTGAAAAAAGTGTTCACCATTTGCACATTGGGTGGCCATGGAAGATGTAAGGAAAGCCCTGGTGGATCAGGCCTAAGATCTGTCCCGACTAGCATCCCGATCACAATAAGCTTGAAAAGGGTGCACCAGCTGTATGAGCCGAGTTGAGTTGTGTGGAGGGAATTTTGCCAAGTGCAGTTTTTCTTACTCTGGGCTGACAAATGCCCCCAACCAACATTTCCTCTTCTGCACAACTAATTGAAGGAACAGGAGCTCAGTCCTCTTTGGAAGCCGAAACCCTTCCCTATTTATGGATTTCCTTCCCTTACTCATTTTGGAAGGGTGCCAAGGATTAGCGATTTAGACAGTGGCATTCAGGAGAAGTAGAAACAAAGAACCTAGCAGACTTGGAACAGCAAAAACCCTGATTCTCTTTCCCCCCCTTGTGCTCCTACCAGAGCCTCCGCCACAAAGACACCATGGAAATCCAGGAGATGGACCTCAGAGAGATGGGTTCTGTGATCCAATCCCGTGTGGTCTTGGAGGTGTCCAGCCAGGTCCAGTCGCTCCTGGATTCCCTGGAGACCACCAAGCTAGAGATCGCTGTGACAGGCGAATCCGGAGCTGGCAAATCCACCTTCATCAACGCCCTGCTGGGACTTAGCGACGGAGACCCCCGTGCTGCCGCTACCGGTGTCATCGAAACCACAGCCGTACCCACATCGTACTCTCACCCTCGTCTGCCCAGCGTCCTCCTGTGGGACCTGCCGGGCATCGGCACCCCATGCTTCCAAGCGGAGCGCTACCTGGAGCAGGTGGGTCTCGAGAGGTACGATTTCTTCATCATCATCGCCTCGGAGCGGTTCCGGGAGAACCATGTCAGACTGGCCCGCGCCGTGGGCTCCATGGGCAAGCGTTTCTACTTTGTCCGCTCCAAGGTGGACCAGGACCTGAAGGCTTCACAGCGACGAAGGCCAGCCTGTTTTGAGGAGGCTCAGGTGCTGTGGGCGATAGAGGCGGACTGCCTCCGCCAGCTGCGGAATGAAGGCCTGGATTCCCCCAAGGTCTTCCTGGTCTCCAGCTTCGAGCTGCACCGGTTTGACTTCCAGCGCTTGCAAGACACTCTGGCCGAGGAGCTCGAAGGCCACAAGAGACACGCCTTGCTGCTCTCCTTCCCTTGCGTCACGGCAGCAGCTGTGGAGAAGAAGAAGGCATCGCTGCGCAAGCACATCTGGAAGAAGGCGTTGCTGGCCTGCGCCGTCTCGGCCTTGCCTGGCCAGAACCTCCACCTCAACATCCCCATGCTCATGAAAACCCTACACTCCTACCGCAAGAGTTTCGGCCTGGACGACGAGTCCCTGGGGGTCTTGGCCCTCGTGGCCTCCAAGCCCCGCCATGAGCTGACCAGTCAGGTGAGCTCAGCATTGGGGAAGGATCTTTCGGAGAACGCCGTGCACGCCGTCCTGAGCCAAGCCGCCTTGTACGGCCAAGTGGCTGCCCGGGTGGTGAAGAACAAAGTGCCTCTTTTTGACAACATGGTAGCTGGGGCCATCTCTTTCGTGGGTGCCTATTACCTGCTGCACACTGCCCTTGATAGCTTTGCACAAGATGCCCAGAGGGTCCTAGGACGGGCCTTTGGTTTGGAGGATGAGGCTCAGGGCTACCCTCCAGAACCAGGATTTATTTTTGATTGAAGGTGGAGCAAGAGAGCTTCTTAAAAGTGCTTGGGGATCATAGGTGCCTTTCCCCGCACTCTTTTATCCACCAGTCCTGCTTCTTAGTCACTTAGGTCCAACTAACCCAGGAAAACGCAGTCAAAAGTCTTTGTGGGATGAACTTCACGTTGGCAGTTCCATCCAAAAACCCTGATGCACCCGCTGATATAACTGCCTTCCATGAATGGTGCTATGCTAACTGGAAAGATCTTGTGCAGTTCTACTAGTTATGGTGGGTTACTGTTATCAGAATCCTACATACAACGTCCAGTGATACAACTTTTTGTGGAAAATAATAAATTGCCAAAAGATTAAAAAAATCCCAATGCAAATTAATTCAGTTGGCATTGGAAAATTTCCTGAGCCCCTTGAGTCATTGAATTCAGCATGCTTGCTTTTATTTGTGTTTCATAAACATAGCTAAAAACATTGATTAGAAGTCAGGCTTCCCTAATGCCATATTTGCAGTTGGCATCCACTGTTGCTAATGAACTGATGAAGTGGAAACATTTTTGACCCAAATCACTGATGGTGAGTGCAATCACTTTGTTATCCTCCTGTAGCCAGGACAGTAGAACCCTGAAGATTTCGAAGCATTATAGAGCATCCACAGAAGCTCAGACTGGATGTAGTACTAATGGGATCATTCCTTCCTTTGCAAATCACAATCATGGTACACATGGGTGCAATTCTGATCAGGTCCGTGGATGAAAGTCATTTTCCACCCATGCCATGGCTTTGATATGGCTCACCAGCTATTTGCAACAGGAGAAACAACAATCTGAAGGGCACGTCACATGACAGTGACAAATCCTAGTTCAGCCGTAACTGCGGACAGGGTACCAAACTGGCTAGACAGTTTTCCAGTTGACTGTGATTGCAGGATGGAATGCAGAGAAGTACCATCACTATCTCCCTTTCTTTGCAGGATCTCTCCTCCTCAAATGGCTACATCTGGGAGTGCTGGGAGAGATCATAACTCACAGAGTCTGTGTTTGATTCTGACTTGGCTTTAAATGCATTTAACAGAAAGGAATCTAGTGGGAGGCAGACCACAACACGATGGATTGGAGCCAGGAATGTGAAGATTGTGCGGCGACTCTGCCAAAGCACAGGGTTTTGATTGTGTGAAGCTGGAAGGAGAAGCAGCCCTTTAAATGACGCAAACTGCCTCTCCTGTGGGAATCACTTTGCAAATGCAAACTTCAGGTGCACTTTCTGTAACTCCATTCGGATTGTTACCTTAACTTCAGAAGTGACCAGTTCTAACATTGCAGACCCGGGACTGCATCGTCTGTGAGCAGATTTATTCTTTATAAGAGTCATCTTGTATTAAATAAAGTTGTGTGTGAGTGCGAGTTCTGGTGCATCTTGATCACAGGTGCAGGCAGTAGCAATCTTCCTCTGATGTTACACTGTTCAGTAGATTGTGAGCCATTATCGTAGCGTGCCAGCTATCAAATTGCATTGACCATCTCATGTACTTTTTGAAAGTAATAATTGATTTTCAAGTTAGCAATCTCCGTATCGTGAGTCATAACCCAGGGCAATTGCTTATTAGTTTGACCAGCAAGGAAAATATATTTCTGTACCATCTATGTTTTTACAATGTAAAGGGCATGTCTAACCAATAAATTTTTCTATTTTTCTGCATATGCTGCCTTTGTGACTTGTTCATTGTATCCTTGGGGTCAAGGAGACTCTTGTGAAGCAAACAAAGAGGCAGTGTGCAACACAGGGAACATCTGAGAGATCACGTCCTTCTCCACAGACCCCCTCGGGTGGTGAGATTCACAGAGGAGGCCCTCTTGTTAGCTTGACTGCCTTGAAAGCTTTGGGGGGGGGGTGCCGCCCAGCAAAGGGCCTTCTCTGTGGCATCCTCTAAATTGTGGAACTCCCTCCCCGCAGACGTTCATCTGGCTCCTTCACCGTATGATTTCCATCAAATTCTGAAGACTGCTGTTTGACATTTGAGATGTATAGTTTTAGTGCTTACCGTTGGCCTGATCCAGTGGGCTTGTGTTCCTAGTTACCAAAAAGTAAAGCAGAAAGTTCCACGTTACAGGGCTTTCCTGCTGCTGGGTAGCTTAGACGGGGACACCTCATCAAATTCTCCTGGTGAAAAATGTAACTCCCATTTCCATCAATTCCACAGCAAGTTGTGATTCTGTGTCAAGCTTAGGTCATCACTAGTGTCCAATGCTTTAAATGCAGGTGTGCAAGAGGACTTCTCTCCCTTGTCCTATAACACTGCCATTTCTCCTCCTCCTGATGTTGAGCCTGTGTGTGGTGTTGCTTATGAAGTCTGAATGACACCGCCAGTGCACAGGGCGTCAAACCCCTTGGTTTACAGAACAAATCTTTGTGGGGGTAGCCACAAAGGGGAGGAGAAACCCTTAAAATAGCACAATGAGTACTGAGAAGTCTTGGTAGCCATGATTTGATAAATGAGTGGGTTAAGGAATGGGAAATTCAGCGTGGGGAGGGAATGGAGTTCTTGTAATCCTAAATAGCAGAGCTTCATACTGCAACATTTCATTGCATACCCTGTTTTAGCTACAAGGAAAACGACTTCTTTATATATATCAGCCATAGAAGCCTCGGTACAGAAAAGGGTAGCTACCCAACCCTGTTTGTAAGTTTTGCAAAAGTTTGTTTTGCCATGTGCAAGGGTTTCTGGAGCTCGCTAGATGGCAATCTTTCCTTTGTTTACTGCTGATGCTATATTATACATAAAATCACCAGGGGATACTGTGCCCCTTTATTTGGGTGACTGTCAGTATCAGGGTTTCCCCCTCCCCCTAGGTCTCGTTTTTTCCAATCCTAAATTCACTACTCCACATTAGTTGTTGTTTTTTAATCTTCATGAAAACTCAGCAGCAGTTTAATGCAAATTTCTAATACAGTGGTACCTCGGGTTAAGTACTTAATTCGTTCCAGAGGTCTGTTCTTAACCTGAAACTGTTCTTAACTTGAAGCACCACTTTAGCTACTGGGGCCTCCTGCTGCCGCCGCACCACCGGAGCCCGATTTCTGTTCTTATCCTGAAGCAAAGTTCTTAACCTGAAGCACTATTTCTGGGTTAGCGGCGTGTGTAACCTGAAGCATATGTAACCCAAGGTACCACTGTATATCAATTTTGGTATACAATTCTTCCTAGTTAATATGGAAAAAAATGTTTTGCAAAGCACTGTTCCCTAATACAATGCTTTTCCTTGTCGTCGCCCCCCCTCCCCCCTCTAATATTTATATGCACACAGACAAAAGAACAGGAAAGAGATCTTGTTCCTTGCTGGCGTAGGATTCTGAGCGGGGGAGCTTAACACTTGCAGAAGGCACAGATCTCAAATCCCTGACTTCACGCTCTGCTTGCTCCTAGATCAGGTATACCCCTCCCTTCCCTTATTTTTCTTTCTCTTAGCCTGAGTCCGTGGAAAGTTGCTGTGATCACTCTCCAGGTTTTCTTTACTCCGTAGAATGAAGGGGTGGGTGTGTGCTTAACAACTATTTGCTGCCTGCATATCTGTAACCTTGCCATGGAAAGCAAGGTATATACCCTGCCTCTTCCTTGTAATAAACCATTTTCTTCCTACTTTCTGGTGTGGCATAGCCTTAATTGGGCCTAAGAGTTGAAGGTGTACTCACATTTTAAATGGATGCACAGTCTGACTTGGTGCGAAAGGTTCCATTCCACTCAGATTTGCACATTGAGTGCACACGTGTGGTCAACAGACAGGCCATAAGTTCAAGTGTACACACCTTGTAACCTTCCCCATTCCATGGCCAGAAGCCAATCACCCTGACAGCTGAATCTTGCTTTGGATAGCTGGCTAGCTGAAAGTGCTCGCTTAACAGACACTGATGCTTTGTTTGATGTAAGGAACATGGGAAGATGCTTTCAGGGCCGGTCCTACTATTAGGCGTAATGAGACCCCTGCCTCAAGTGGTGAATGTTGCTGGGGCAGCAAGTGTTAGAAAGGTGTTGAAGATAAAACTGAGCTTGCTACATGGCCTTCTTTGCCCCGCCCCCAAGCTAGGTTGCCCACCCTCAGGGAACGGCATTGTCCCATTGCGGTCTGGTGGGCTTTGAATACAGGAGCATCACATTGTCCTTTGCCTCAGGCAGCAAAATGCCTTGAGCTGGTCCTAGCTGCCTTATACCAAGCCAGATCATTGGGCCCATCTAGCTCACTGTTGTTTTCCACTCTGATAGGCAATAGCTTTCAGGTGAGGATCTTTCCCAGCCCAATTAGGGGTTGGGGAACATTTTAAGCCCGAGGGCCATATTCCCTTACAGACAATCTTTTGGGGGCCATGTGTTGGTGGTGGGCAGGGCCAGAGGGAAAAGTGGGCGGAGTAATTGAACTTTACCCATGCCCAGTTGGCTTGTTTCACATGCACTCCCATGCCTCTCTCTGTTCTCCACCCTGGGAAGCAAGAGACGTTAGCAGAGTTCGAGACTGCATTTGAGCCAGGCAAAAATGATCAAGAGGTGTGTGCAAAGTAGAACCAGACCAGGGGATGTCATTCTGGGCCTAGAGAGAGTCCCAAGGGCCATATGGCAAGGGCTGGTGGTCTGCATCTGCTGTTGGGTCTGAGGCCCTTCATCTCTGGTGTATGTGATAGTAGTAGACTGGATTCATGGATTGGCTCGAGGCAGAGGAGTGGGAGGCAACAGCTAAGAAACCCCCAGGGGGAGAGGGCTCAGAGCCCAGGGAATGGTAGCGGGACAACGATGCCTGATCACAGGGAGAAGATGGAGCAGACTGGGAGGAGGAAGTGTCAGAAGCTGAAAAGGCAACAGGGTTTAGTGAGCAGGAAGAGACTCTAGCAGAGAGCAGTCCAGAATCAGAGGCAGGAGAGGAGGGGGGCAGGAGACAGAGATGAGGCAAGCTGCTGAAGAATCCAGGGAGTCTCCCCCTCCTGCTGCGACCATCTCCTCTCCCTCCCTGGTGTTCCAGCACATGAAAAGGAATGAAGAGGGTGGAGCAAAGAGAGACAAGACACAAGAGCTTCAGGTTGTTGGAACCAGGGGAGGAGTTTTAGAAAGCTATGAAAGTTTAGGGACCTTCAGTCCCCACAAGACCTACTGGGTAGAGTTGCTGCCATCACTAGGCCTGAGCTGTTTTGGGGTTTTTTTAACTTCACTGACACTGGTGTGTTTCTTGCTCACCGACTCTTGACTCTGGCTCCTGACAACTAGATGGGCAAATAGTCTGACCGAGCATATAAATCTCACACCCTTCATTCCTAGCCAGTGGTCTGCTAGTGGGCCATTTGGCTGTACTTTTTGGGGGGGAGGAGAATGGATCATCCATCCAATTGACAAACTGGCCTTGCTTGTGATCTCTTGCTGATCATGTATCATGATGACTTTTCCTTTTCAAATAACGTGGTGTGTAGGTAGGAATTAGGAGATCCCCAGTTCTTAAAAAGGGTGTGCACACTTCCTGTTGCCTGTGAACTCTGGTTATCCCCGGTTAGCTGTGTTCTCCTAATTTTTACAGCTTGTCCTTCTGTCAGAATGGTCTCTTTATGAGAGGTGCCAGTGTTTGCCGTGAACAAATGTTTGCAGAAAGCTGCCAAATGAGTCCAAAGTTTCCTTTGCTATTTTGGTCTTCTTTCAGCTATCCTATGACCATTACGCTGCCATTAGAGTGCATGTGCCTTTGCTTCAAGGACAATGGGTCAAGAGATGCCAAAAGTCCTGGTATTTCCACCCCACCGTTCCTTATTCAGAGATAAGATTTGGAAGGTGGGAGACAGAGCGTGGGAATTGCAGATTCACACCCTGAGCTGACCTGTGAAGTCTGATCATCCCATTGAAAACCTGGTAATAAGGAGTGAGAAAGATGGCTAAGTCTGCAATCTAACATCCCTTTCTCAGGGGGCAAGTCCCATGGAACTGAATGGGATTTACCTCTAACTCAGAGGTGGGGGACCTTTGGCCCTCCAAATGTTGCTGGACTACAATTCCCATCATCCTTGGCCATGCTGACTGGGGCTGATGGGAGCCGCAATCCTCCAACAACTGCAGACACTCCAAATGTCCCTATTTTCCAGGGACAGTCCTGGATTTCCAACCCAAAAATAGCTACAGTCAGGAAGCAGCCTCAATGGCGCCTCTAACCATAAAAATGTCCAGGCCAAAGCATCAGCTCTCTGCAAAGTTAAAATGATTCAGGATGCTTCTATGTTTGCAGGACTGCGGCAGAGTGGATTCGGGGTTAGGGAACACACCCCACCTCTTTGCAGCCAGAGCAGAATGCTTCTCTGCCCCATGTCTGTAGGTAAATGGGTGTTCATCCTCTTACACATACACCCCCAGATAAAATCCTGCCATTCTTCCTTGTTTTCAATGCCTTGTATTAGTGTGTGTGTTGGTGTGTGTGTTTTAAAGTGTATGTAATGTATATACAACCTGCTTGTAAAAACAAGACGTGTTAGTCATAAACTAACTGGGAAAGTCAGGTGTTTTTCAAGCACGCAATGGGTCGCAAGGTTATGCTTGCTGCTGTAAATTACTTCTCCAGCTGACCGCAGTGACTTTCCCCTGAAGACGTGAGGGAAGTACAGTGATACCTCGGGTACAGACGCTTCAGGTTACAGACTCCACTAACTCAGAAATAGTACCTCGGGTTAAGAACTTTGCTTCAGGTTGAGAACAGAAATCGCGTGGCGGCGGGAAGCCCCATTAGCTAAAGTGTTACCTCAGGTTAAGAACAGTTTCAGGTTAAGAATTCCTCCAGAAGGAATTAAGTTCTTAACCCGAGGTGACGCTGTAATCCAGAATGCGGCAGCTAGACTGGCGACTGGGAGTGGTCTCCGAGACCACATAATACCGGTCCTGAAAGACCTACATTGGCTCCCAGTACGTTTCCAAGCACAATTCAAAGTGTTGGTGCTGACCTTGAAAGCCCTAAATGGCCTCAGCCAGGTATACCTGAAGGAGAGTCTCCACCCCCATTGTTCAACCCAGACACTGAGGTCCAGCTCCGAGAGCCTTCTGGCAGTTCCCTCCCTGCGAGAAGTGAGGTTACAGGGAACCAGGCAGAGGGCCTTCTCAGTAGCGGCGCCCGCCATGTGGAATGCCCTCCGACCAGATGTCAAGGAAATAAACAACTATCTGACTTTTAGAAGACATCTGAAGGCAGCCCTGTTTAGGGAAGTTTTTAATGTATGATGTTTTATTATATTTTTAATATTTTGTTGGAAGCCACCCAGAGTGGCTGGGAAAACCCAGACAGATAGGTATGGTATAAATAATAATTTGTTGTTGTTGTTGTTGTTATTTAAGATGGATGCAGAGCATAGAAATAGCATCTTCCACTATTGCTTCTAGGCTCTGCAGTGTTCTTTCTCTCATCCATCAGTCGCTTCAGGTGTTTTGGGCCACATTCACACACTGTGATACCACTTTAAACAGGTGTGGCAGAGAGTTTTCAGGAGACTCCTATTCCCCCTCACAGGGATATAACTAGCAGGGTTTCCTGTTAAGGGATACTGATTGTTAAACCATTCTGAGAATTGGGCCTCTAGGAGGGGAATGAGGGGAGTCTCCTAGCAACTCTCAGCATCCTTAAGAAACCACAGCTCCCAGAATTCTTTGAGGGAAGAGCCATGACTGCTTGAAGTGGTGTCATAGCGCTTTAAATGCATGGTGTGAATGGGGCCTTGGAAACACATTGGGTTGTAGTCAACTAACTTTTGCTCAGAGTAGAGTCATTGAAATATAAGTACCAAGGTTAGCCAGGCCTATTCATAGCAATGGGTCTAAACCCGTAGTTCCCAATGTGGGGCAATTTGATTTTTAAGGGAGGCAATTCGAGAATGTTTAGACCAAGTTAATGGCCTTTTAGGCTTCCTCCACATGAATAGAAGTTCACTTTTTGAATAAGAAGAATTATATGTTGGGGTGTGTGTGTGTGGCATCAGGATTTTGGTGGGGCATAGGCAAAAAAAGGTTGGGAACCACCGGTCAAAACTGAGCAGGACATCTGCAGTACATCTCCTATTTCCCCCCAGGCTTTCCCATAATATTGAATCCTGTTATTTTGTGTGTGTGTGTGTGTGTGTGTGCGCGCGCGCATCCCTAATAATATGCAATTGGGAGAGAAAGAGAGAAAAAATCACCCTCACCCCCACAACAGGTCTTCCATACCTGACCACTGGTTCTCCCTTGTATATGAAGTGTTGTGAAGACTCAGTTTCTAGTAGAGAAACTGACAGGTGGAGAAAAGTGCTTTACCCTCCCTCAGTCTGCTATATTTCACCCTCCCCTGCTACTCCCCCCCTTCAGGACTTCCAGACTTCCACTTCCATTGCAAAGCAGACTGAAGGACAGTCAGAAACAGTCTCCCTCTGGAGCCTGTGGATTCTCCTTCTTGGAGGTTTTTAAGCAGAGGTTGGATGGACATCTGTCATGGACGCTTTAGTCAATATTCCTGCATAGGAGGGGGTTGGACCAGATGAACCTCAGGCCCCCCTTCTATAATTCTATGATTCTATAACCCTTGCCAGAAAAAAAACAACCCAAACCTGTGGGTACAGCCTGCCCACTCCCTTTTTCCTAGACAGGAAAGCTGAAACCATAAACCTTTGTCCTTCTGGGAGCTCCCTCTTTGTCCACAGGCAGGGAATCTCTCTCCCTGATGAGGATGAGTTTTCCTTGACTTGCTTCCAGAACCTTTTGTCATTCTTAGCTACGTGAGAGGCCTGGCCTTCTCTACTCCAAATATTATCCATATCCGACCATTAATTATTTCTAACGTTCTCTAGTGGTTATGAGTGCCCGTGCACCCCCCCAAACTCTGTTAACCCCAGATCTGTAACAATATATATCAACAACTGCATATCCGAAACCTGTTTTGAATCTGGTATGGATCCAAATAGCAGTTTTAAAAAATGTGCTACTGTAAATTGAAAGAGGAAACCCCCCCAGCAGGCATTGAAGAGGCAAAAGTAGAGGAGCTTGTCTTATGTGTTACATTCAGATGTTGCCGTCTTAAGCCAATCAGAGACATGCATTTTGTCCATGCCTCAAGGTGGTATAGCTTTTCTTGTAGGCCTTGCCAGCCTGGTGGTAGGAGCTTGTGAATTCCCAGAGGCCTAGTTTCTAGAGAGAGACAGGAGGTCCTTTGGTAGTCAATGTGAGTCTTTGTATTCTTTTTATCAATCTCATTTATATATTTGCGGAAGGATTTTTTTCCAAGTTCCCTTCTCCGGCCTCTGTTAATATGGTGGGGGTGACTTTTCCAATTAGCTGCTGCCTCCTAATCTCTCCCACGCAACACAATTTCTGTATAATTTTAAATCTGCTGGTGTATTGCAACACAGGGAAGCGCTGGCTTCGTTGGCAGTCTGCAAACCAATTAAAAACCCTTAGAGGGAAAAACAAATCCCAACACCCCAGACATATGAAGCACGACCCAAGAATCCCGGGAGCTGTAGTTTCTTAAAGGGTGCTAGGAATCGCAGCTCTGGGAGGAGTAAACTGCAGTTCCCAGGTTTTTTTGGGGTGGTGGTGGGATGTGCTTTAATGTATGGTGATTAGGCAAATTCATGGAGCCTAGAGCTGCCAACGGCTGCTCACCACAATGGCTGTGTTTTACCCCCAGTCTTGGAGGCAGTATGAATGAGTACCAGTTGCTGTGAATGACAAAAACGGAGGGCGGCTGTTGTGCTCAGTTTCTGTTTGTGGGCTTCCCATAGACATCTGGTTGGCCATTGTGAGGAAGAGGTTGTTGGGTTAGATGCAGTGCTAAAAACTCAGGTGAATGACCTAGGCGCCAAACGGCCCCTTAAACCTGCCACCTGGGCATCTTCACTTGGTCACAAAGGGACCGATAGCTAGCTGCAAAATGCATTTCGAATGCTGATTAGATGGTTTTGAGGGGCCTAATCCAGCAGCCAGGCTCATCTTGTGGGTCTAATGCCGGCCAGGTTATCGGTTTGCTTTTGTTTTGTTACTATGTTCTCATTTTGCCTTTCTGCGTTGTGAACCGCCCTGTGATCTTCGGATGAAGGGCAGGAAACAAATTTAACAATAAGTAAATAAATATTCACGCTGCCAAGAAACGATGACGAATCAAGAGTTTCGGGTGGGTGGAGGCATCTCACCCTCCTTTGTATCAAACTACAGGTGAGTGATTATTCCTCAAAAACAAGTGATGTGTTTGACTACAGCTGCCTTCATCCCTGACCACAGGCCCTGTTGGCTGTGGCTGATGGAAGTCAGAAACGAAAGCTGCTCTCCTGCTCTTCTTCCCCCTGATTCCTTCTTCTTTGTTGTTGGGGTGGGGGCTTCTCCCAAACACTGCTGGGAAACACACGCAAGGAAAACCACTTACTCTTGAAGCCCTACTTCTTGGAGGGGGGGCAAGCGACAAAGCCGGGCCTGAATTGTGATTGATTGGGACGGGGTTAAGGAAATGTGTGGTTTGAACCATGCTGCACAGAGAAGCAGAACCTCGGAACAGCCCAGGTGGATCAGGCTAAACACCCATCTAGGGCAGCTTCCACTTCTCACAGTGACCAGCCAGATGCCCATGGGAAGTCGGCAATCAGGGCCTGAGTGCAACAGCCCTCTCATGACTTGTGATTCCCAGCAGCTAGCTGACCATGTATGCCAGAGGCAGCCAAAATGGCACCCTCCATATTTTTGCCATACCCTCATTCCCACCAGCCCCGGTCAACACGGCCAATGTCCAGGAATGAGGCAAGCTGTATTTCGACAATATCCAGAGGGCGCTACGTTGGCTAACCTTGATGTTATACACACACACATATAATATCTAAGTTTACCTTTGCAGTACAGGCGTTAAACCTTGCAGTTTTTGAGGCCTCTCAGTTTCTCTGTGCCGGACTTGCCCGTTCTTTCTCTAAGGAACAATGAAAACAATCCTTTTCCACTGCCTTACTTGTTGCATTCTTCTGCTGCCTGTTAATGGTGAGTGGTCTTCATTAAACCTTATTTACATGGGCAGATCCAGGCTTCGGGATGGGGAGCTTCTTGGGCAAAAAGACCATAAACGGGGCCCCAGCTGTACCCCTCTTTTTGCTATCAGGCTTTCCTCTGCAGTTGACCCGTCTCAGCTACAGAGGCGTAATGTGCATATGGCTCTCTGTTCCAACTCCCCCTCTTGCCACCAAAGTGGGTCCTCCCGACTTCCGTGGACCCAGGACCACCACCCAGCTAACCCACTGACAAAGCCCCCAGGTTGGAGCCCTACAGTTCCTTCTGTAGCAATCACCCGCCCTTTCTTTCTGCTTCCAGAAGCTAGGAATTTATCGTGTTCAAAGTGCGACCTTGGAGACGCCACATGCACGATGATTCATTGCCCGCATAAAGAGCTAGTGTGTGTTACCCTATCGACATTCAACACGTTAGGTGGGTGCAATTGTTGGCAAATGCCGTAGGCTTCTGGTCCTTCTCCACTAGGGATGAATGAGTTCAAATCCCTGCTCAGCCACAGAGTTGGTTGGGTGACTTAAAGCCGTAAGAAGAGCCTGCTGGATCAGGTCAATGGCCCATCGAGTCCAGATTCCTATGGGAAACCAGAAAAAAGCCCAAGAGCACTCTCCCACTCCTTTGGTTTCCTGCAACTGGTATTCAGAAGCATTGCACCCTACTAGGAAAGCCAACTGACATGAGCATGGGGACAAGCGAAGGAGGGCCCCTTCACCCCGGTGTGGCTCCCCTGTATCACATATACAGCACAACAAGGCAATGACCTGTGCCCCACAACAGCATATGCATCGATATGGCTAATCTGACCCAACAACCCCCCTGCCCGGCACACATACATACAAAGAAACCACACTGCAACCAACCAGACACAACCATCCAAGCTCTGGACCCCATAATCTCTTGCAATGACAATAAAAATGAACAAATTTATAAATAAAGGACCTTCCCGTGTGATGCTGACACAAAAACCCTGCACAGACACTATGCAATAGAACGAAAGATCATTATTATCCCCCCATCTCTTTCCCTCCCCCCACTCCCCTCTCTTTTCCTCCAACGGCACAGTGTCTGTGGCAATAGTGTCTGATGCCAAAAAGACTCTCTGAATGGCAAGTGGAGGTGCTATATGTGTTTGTTTATTGGTTTTGTGGCACAAAAAATTCTTCAGTAAAAACCAATGAAAAGATGATGATGATGAAGAAGCGTTGCTGCCTCCGATTGTGGAGCCAGAGCATAGCCATTATGGCTAGTGGCCATGAATTTGCCTAATCCTCTTTTAAAACCACCCCATTTGGGGGCCATCATTACCTTCTGCGGGTGTGAGTTCCATAGTTTTAACCACGTGTTGTGTGAAGGTTTCTTTTATCTGCCCTGAATCTTCCAAACAAATTCGTGAAGGAGAAGCCTTGCAGCAGTTGCTGACTCTGATGGGTATGTTCTACCTCCTCTGTCGGAGGCGGCGTGCTCCTGAATTCTAGTTGCTGGAAACCTCAGGAAGGGAGAGTGCTCTTATGCTCAGAGCCTGCTTTCAGGCTTCCCATAGGTTTTGCCCCGTGAGAGCAGGATGCTGGGCTACACGTGCCATTGGTCCGATCAGAGAAGGCAGTCTCTGCTGATAGGCTTTTGATCCAATTGACACGACATTTCTCCCATGCTCAGGAGGAATAGTCACATCCTCTTTTTCTCCAGGCAGAGGTGTCAGCCCCACTGGGATGTACAAAAGCTGCATCAACCGCAGTGCCTGCAAACCAGGAGCCTTCACGCTGAGCACATCCACGGAGAGGCAAATCCGAAGCAACATAGCCTGTTGCGGAACTGCTGGATGCAACGAAGAACTGGTTCTAAGTAGTGAGTATTGATTGAGCTTGCAGTGTGTTTCAAAGCAGTGTGTGTGTGTGTGTGTGTGTGTGTGTGTGCCTTTGGTAGCTTCCCTCTTGAGGACAATGGTGGTCCATGAGGTTCGAGTTGGCAGGTTCATAAAGCAACCCTAATGGGGATGCAAATCTTCAATGAGTGACCTTGAACCAGTGACCTAAGGGAGTTCTCAGAAAACGTCCCCCCGCCATGTGCCACCATCCAGATCTGGACAAAGAAGGGAATTTATTATATTATAAATGCAAGGAAATATTATTATTTAAATGCAAAAATTGATCTGTGAATTTAATTTTAATATATTTCCAAAGATTATATAAATATATCTAAATAGTTGCACAATGAAAGATGCACAGTTTCCTGTTTGTACTCAATTTGCCATTGATCAGGCTTCCTCAACCTCGGCCCTCCAGATGTTTTTGGCCTACAACTCCTATGATCCCTGGCTAGCAGGACCAGTGGTCCGGGATGATGGGAATTGTAGTCTCAAAACATCTGGAAGGCCGAGGTTGAAGAAGCCTGCCATTGATGAAGCTACAATGCGTTCTGTTCTCCTAGTTAAACTTCCTGATCTGCACTCCCAAATAATACCTTATTTTATTATACTTCTCCTATCAATAAATATGGGTTTGCTGACTCCTGCCCTTTATTATTCCAATACAAGGCAAACCTCACATCACAGGAAAGAAAGGAGTCATGTACCACCTTCCATCCTTTTTTTGGATTTCAGGGCTGTGTAACAACAAAAATTAATGCCACAATTCAAGAACCACAGCACCACCCCACTAAAATCAAGCAGCGAACAGACCCCTTGAAAGCAGGCTAGGATTTGCAACTGGTTAAAATGCCCGGGTAAATAAAAAATCTGTATTTGCCTGATGCTAAAAAAATAGCAAGGAAGGTGGTATGCAAATCTTGTTGGGGTGGGTGTTCTGCAACTGGTGCCTCTGCTGAGAAGACCATCTCTCATGCCACTGAAGAGCATTTGTCTGGTGAAGGAGGCTTTTGAAGAAGGGTCTCAGCAGAAGACCTCAGTGCATGGAAAGGTCCTTAGTTCAGTGGTAGAGCACTTTCCTTGCAGAAGGTCCCTGGTTCAACTCCTGGCATCTCCAGGAAGGACTTGGGAATGTCCCCTGCCTGGAATTAGGACTGTGCGATATCTGGTCTTCAACATCACGATATATCACCAGCTAAACATAGCAACATACCAATATATCCTGACATCTAAAATAAATATGGAGCTATGTAGAGGCATTACCTGGCTTCTCTGTTTTCCCCACATTGAGATTTTTGCATAACGCACACAAATCATGATTCGTGATACATCATGAAACCAATATCACAATGCGGACTTCAAACCAGTTTGGGACAATCTATCATCCAGCCCAAGCTGGAACCCTGGAGCACCTCTGGCAGTCAGTGCAGTCAGTGCTAAGCTAGATGGTGCAATGGTCTGACTCTGTGAGGCAGCTTCCTACATCTGCAGACACTACTGGTCTGTTGCAGTTTGAGCCCCCTTTTCATGCCCCCTGGCAGTGTGTCCTTCTCAGGCATCTCCAGGCACTCCCAAAACCCCAGAGAGCTTCTGCCAATCAGTAGACAATCCTGAACTAGATAGACTAGTGGATCTGGCTCATTCTTGGGGGCAACCTGGCCCATGGAGTGTCATGTGTTGACGGTGATCTGTTCTCATCGCCGTTCCACCTGCAACGTTCTTCCCTAGCTGAAGCTTCCAGGCCAGATCCAAGGGCAGCCCCATATAGAGTATGCTGCAGTAATCTAGCCTTGAGACTACCAAAGCACAGACTTATGTATGTGGGTTTTAGTGGGTTTTTATGTGGGTTTTAGTTTCTGGGGATCATAGCTAAAGCCAAAATTGTGTATGGTCAGGACACATTGAGTTCAATGGCAGGTGGGATTGCCAGAGTCTCTTTTTCCTCCCCCTATTATTGTTGTTGTTGTTGTTGCAAGGCTTGTAAAGCTGAAATTGCACAAGTTAAATGTGCATAAGTTTGGGGCTTACCGTGTTTGCTTAGCTCCATGGGCTGAGTCCGTTTCATCAGAGCTACCTCTCGCTGCCCTCGCTCACGTGAGATCTTCCTCTGATTGTTTTCCAGTGACTCCTGCGAGTTCTACCAAAAACGGGTTGACTTGCCCAGGGTGTGAGAGTTTTAACCGGGGCCCTTGCCAGGCCCACGAGCGCGTCGAATGCACCGGAATCGAAGAAAAGTGCATTTCCCTTGTTGGGCTATACGCTGGTATTTCTTCACACACACGCACACACACACACCCTGCTGTTACTGGGACCTTTCCAAGGAGCTTTGTTGAAAGCCCTTAAAATGGCTTCTGCCTTACCCTTAATTTCCCCTTTTTCCACCTGGGTTGTGGGTGGAAAGTAGGATGAACCTGGGAAGTGGGTGATAGTGGGGGCAGGGAGGAATCTTTTATCCACAGCCCTTAGCTTGTGAAAAAGGCAACAGGACTCTGTGAGACTTAGGTCAAAGCCACACCCTGTATTTCAAGAACTCTTGTACCACTTTGATAGTCGCAATGAGTCCTTGCAACTGTAGTTTGTTAAGAGTTTTGGACACTGTAGCTCTATGGGGTCAATGTGCTTAACAAACTACCGTCCCCAGGATTCTTTGGGGGAAGGTACAACTCTTAAAGTGGCATATGCATGTGTTAAAAGTAAAGTAAGGAGTGGATGTGACCTCACTACACACCCTCAAATTGACTTGATGATCACTGGGCACACTTTTGACCACCACTCTGCGTGCGTGTATTTAAAAAAACAGTCACCCCATGTCCCTCTTTGTCTCCTACTACCAAACGGTAAGGCTGGGATTTTCCAGAAAGAATGCCCAAATCAAAATTAAGGATGGGAGGCAAGTGTAGACAGGGAATAGGCTTCCCAAAACATTGCCCAACCTAGTACTTTTCACCACAGACAATACTCCCAGGGGTGGGTGCATGCCATTTCCCCCACAGAAATCTCAGAAGTTCCCTCAGAGTGACTATTATTCTTTTCTTTTAAGTTTTAGATCCCACCTTCCTTTTATTTTCACTTCTTTATCATCATTTTTGCTTCCTGTCCCATCTTCCTTTTCTTCCTATATATATATAAAAGTAAGGCTGTCGTCATGCTGTAATTTGCACGGCCGCTCATAGGCAGCATGATGACAGAATGGCAGGCAGGAAGTGACGAAGGAAGCAACACAGGTGGTAGTGGCCCAGGTGAGCTGTTTAAAGGGGCTTCAGAGAGAAGTTGGACAAACTGCTGTCTTCCCATCGTTGCAGCCGCACGACCCCAGTAAGCGAGATTTTGGAGGGGAGGCAGGGGCAACATTTTCCCATTTCGCCTCAGGCGGTGAAATGAGAGGGGCCATCCCTGCTGAGTGGTGACCCAGAAAGAGCTCCAGGTCCATGCCTGCTCTTTCTCCCACACTTGGCTTTCTAAGTCTATCTACTTTCCAAACCTATGCTTCACCTCTGGCTGCTGCCTTCTCCCTGACTTCTTCCCTCCTTTATAGCATGCTGTTGGGGGAACCTGTGAGCTGTGAGGCTCTGCGGACACCAGATTCAGCTGGGTCAAGCCCCCGCTGCAATTAGACTCTGACACAAACCATCATATGCAGGGGAAAACAAGCTAGGTATAATAATAATAATAATATAATAATTTATTATTTATACCTCGCCCATCTGGCTGAGTTTCCCCAGCCACTCTGGGCGGCTCCCAATCAGTGTTAAAAACAGTAAAGCGTTACATATTAAAAACTTCCCTGAACAGGGCTGCCTTAAGATGTCTTCTGAATGTCAGGTAATTATTTATCTCTTTGACATCTGATGGGAGGGTGTTCCACAGGGCGGGCGCCACTACCGAGAAGGCCCTATGTCTGGTTCCCTGTAGCCTCACTTCTCGCAATGAGGTACGAAAGGGGACCTGCTCTTCCTCTCATTTTGAGTCTTTGCTCCTCTCTCTCTGCAGGTTTACCGGAACAAAACTTCTCCGTCAAAGGCTGTGCAACTGATTCAGCTTGTTCCTTGGATGTCAATGACCTTGTGCCCTATGCAGGAAAACTCTACATTGTGACTGAGTATGCAGTTTGCACTGATGGGCAAACTGAGGATTATGGCCCTTCTGCAGCCATCCAGCTAACTGGGTCCCCCTTTGTAAACGTTATTGCTTTCTTGAGTTTCTCTGTGTTTGCATCCTCACCTGTGTAACAATCCTATGTCCCGAGGTATTGAGAATTATAACGTTACGGTTTTTCTTACTCATGATCAGTGTCTTCATCTTTTTTCTTCAAGGAGGAATGCACTAATTTTCAGCATGAACTTCCATTCCTCCATATTTCTCTAAAATCTCTAAAACCTTACACTTGCTTGCCAAGGCCCCGTGACCTCGCTGCTCCCTAGATAATAAATTACCAGACAAGAAAGCAGCATATAGTTTGGGTTCAAATAGGCCACAACTTTTATCAATTACAGATGTGAAATGTTTGGCATTGGGTGAAGCCATTTATTTTCCCCTCAGCCCATCTGCTGAGAGTGCATCTAAGGGTAAACCGCATTGGGGGAAGGGGCTATGACCTATATAAAATAGGGGTATTCCTGAGGGGGTCTCCATTAGATGAGTGCTATGGACCTACCTGCCGCCTGGGCATCAGACAGAAGCAACTCCTTGCGGATCCCTTTATAACAGGATAGCTTTAACCAAAGTGGGGCAGGCAGAGTCTACATCCTCCCCTCCAGCCAAAACTAAGGCTTACCCAATGCCTAATGATTGATTTGAGTTAGGTGAAAGCCAGTTGGCCAGTGCCAATTTGCCAAGTGGAAAAATCCCTGCCCGGCCCTGAATACAGCGGCCCATGAGGTAAAGGGCAAGGTCATAGCTTGAAAGGAAAAACATAGGATAAAGGGAGGCAGGGTGGGAGAGATGATGAAAAAATGGGCAGTAGCAAACAGGAGGAAGAGGAGGACCAAGGGGACCCAGGGGTTAGCCATGGGGCCTTGGCTGGGCTGTGGACTTCAGCAGGAACCCAGTGATGCCAACTGCAGATGCTGATCCTTCCAGGGGCTACAACCCTGCCATCATTTGCAAGAAAGCCAGGGAGCTGTGATATGGGAAGCACCAGTGGTTTTTATTGCCAAGCAGTAAACAAAGCACTTCTGGTTTACGAGTTGGACTACGGACCTAGAGGAAAGGTCTTAATTCATACCAGCTGAACAGCAGCAGCAAGGACCAGGGAGCCACTGCAGCTCAGCTCTCTGCGAATGGAGGAGGAGTTGACTGGAGATGAGTTGAGCCATCGATAAATTCAATGTCAAAGGAGAGAGATGCTCTGACACAGGCCTTTGGTTCAGCCCTCTCTCGACTGTGCCAGTCCAAGACATCCCTGAAGCAAAGCCCCAAATGGAAGGTCCCCCACCTGTTGGGGGTGGAGTTGGGGAACTTCAGGCTCAGGGGATAAATGTGGCCCCTGAAGTCTCCCTCTCTGGCCCTCAGAACTCCCCAAGGCCACGCCCGCCCCTGGTACTTCTTTGCACCCCAAGAGCTTTTCCTAGGTGGGACGTGTCCTTGAGCTCTGACGCCTCTTGCTCATCTAGGGGGAAAAAGGAAGGGGTATGCCACTAGGGGGGAAGGAACCAGCCTCCACTACAAAGCTAAAAGATCCTCTCTCGTGCCCCACCCACACCTGGCATGTGGCCCTTGGCAGGTTGCCCAGAAGATAATGCAGCCCTTGGGATAGAAAATCATCTCCATCCCACACTGGGGCCAGCTTTAAAATCTTGCTGTCCTTTTCATGCACCAAATCCTGCATTTGCCCACGGTCCTCAAGTGGAAGGGCTCTCAGACAACAGGACTTTTCTCTAACCCTTCATTGGAGGTTTTAAAGCAGAGGTTGGAGGGCTATCTGTCCTGGATCACAGAATCGCAGAATTGTCGAGCTGGAATGGGTCCAACCCCCCGCAATGCAGGAATCTCAGCTAAAGCATCCATGACAGATAACCATCCAACCTGTACTTAAAAATCTACAAGGAAGGAGAGTCCACAATCTCCCGAGGGGGACCATTCCACTGTCAAACAGTTCTTAGTGACATAAAGTTCTTCCTGATGTTTAGTCGGAATCTCCTTTCTTGTAACTCAAAGCCATTGGTGTGAGTCCTACACTCTGGCGCAGGAGAAAACAAGCTTGCGCCATCTTCCATGTGAAAGCCCATGAGATATCTGAAGATGTGAGATGTGTGTCAAATAATATGTAAGAGGTGTCTCAAACGGACCTAAAGGTTTGCATCGTGCATCATGTTTGCCATAAATTTTATTGTCAGAATCCACCATTCATTCCAGGAAGTCCTTGCACCCTAGGAATGCATTGCACAACACAATAAGACAGGCATCTCCACCCAGTTGCTTTACAGGTATTTATACTACACAATTACTGCATTTCATTGGAGCAACTGGCTCAGTTACGTTATTGCAGACGTTATCTATAAAATGCCCTCTACACATAAATTTGGGCACCAGAAGCACTCAAGCTCAGCATTGTCCCTAGCCCTACCTTTTGACACCATGGAGCCTCTCCTTGTTCTCTGCCTTCTTTCGCCACTCTTAGTTGCCTCTCAGGATCCACGTAAGTTATTTATCATTGATCACATCCATTCTCCTACTATGCTGTTAGGGACAAAATGGAAGGCCAGGACTTTGGAATGACATATCAACTGAGCCATCATTTGATGCTAATCTAGGAGGGTTAAAAACTGTCCTTCTTGGGCCTGCCCATAAAAAGCAGCTCTAGAGTGAGAAACTAGGGTGATATCTGCTGTTCCCATAAATTCTTCTTGTTGTGGGACTTTTATGGGTTTGCTGAGAGTTTGTTTGGACCTGGGTGAGAACCCGGAGGCTGAGGGGAAGGATGTGTCAGAAGGAAAATGAATGTGTGTTTTTGTAATATTTTGTTTCTGTTTTTGCCTCAGCTTTTTGTACACCACTTAGATATATTTTTAATATAGTAAGTGGTATAGAAATTCAATAATCAATCCACCAGTAATCATAGAGTTGGAAGAGACCACAAGGGCCATCGAGTGACTAGTGACTTTCCCCTGCCTGATCAAGGGAAATCAAGGGCTAGTGTCTGTGTTTGGACTTCAAGACTAGCACTTCAGTGGGTGGATTTGGCAACAAGGAGACTGGTAGTAATCTGTCTGGAGATCAAACTACTGCTGTTAGAACAACTGTTAAGCCCGCTGTAAATTTTAAAGGCAGTGGCTCAAATATGCAGTGAGTTTTATTCAGCTAAGTCCTGCTCAGAGTATATCTATCACAACAACTGAACCTAAGTTATGTCCACTGACTTCAGTGGGTCTACTTTGAGTAGGACTACCACCAAAGATGCATATTTTGGATGGGTAGCTATGGTGCCTGACATCTAACCAGCCTAATGCTATTGCCTCAATAGTTTCCTGCTCCCAGTTGTCCTTCTCTTGGCTTTCTCAACAAACTCAACATGCTGCAGGTGGAACTGGGACCAGCAGAAATTATGCCACTTTTGACAGCAGAGAAAATGGGTGCTTGCAGTACACCACCTCTATACTGCACACAAATATCAGCTGTGCATCTTAAGTTCACAGTAGCAGCATGTGAAGATGCTTACCTGAACAGGTCTGGGCTGGAGTGACCATGAGATTGGAGCCATGCAGTTCCCCATTCCATGCTCCTGCCGAGGCATCTGTATAATCCCCACCTTCCCATCACTGTGTCTCAGTGGCATCCAAGGATAACTTCATGCTTCCAACCCACCACAGGCACCACAGCTACTAGTTTGATTGGCAGGCTTTCTTCCAAGGAATAGGCTAGTATTGTCTATATAGCTGCCCATTCACTGCAACCATCTATGGGGTGTCTCTCCCCCCACCCCACCCCCCGGTAATGCTGCATGTACTGGAGGCAGTGCATGAAGGATAGTTAGACACTTTCCGACATCGTACACATTTTGTCAAGCTAAAACCTTTGTTTTATTCTATTCTATCTTTTGCTGACGTTCCTGAAGGATGCATATCTGATTTCATTTCTGAGAACTGTTGAACTGTTTATTGTTAAAGTTTCATGGCTGTATGCTGCTATAATCTTTAGTAGTTTATAATCCATATAATATAAAGGAATACTCTTTAAAAAAAAATAAAAAAATGGAACAATGGAAAATTCCCAACAGATCTTTTTCATATTGGGAGCAAGAACAAGTAATTTGGAAGTCCAGATTCCAGGGAGAACACTGAATGAGTGGAATTTTTGGAAAGGATCTCTAATGATGACCAGGATATGCCATTGGCAGAGATGATAGGAATTGTAGTCCCAACAACATCTGGAGGGCCACACAGACTCATTTCTGACTTGAGCCACCCAATTAAGAAAATTAGCAATCAGTTTAGGCCTGACGAAAGAAGTGCTTCCTCTAGCACAACAATCCATAGCCACCTTCTAAAACTCACTGCCACAAGGTTGGGTGGTGTGTACTGCGTTAGATGGAACGAAAGCAGGATTAGATAAATCCATGTAGGTTTCTGGCTACATCACGAACTCAATGCCAGTAGCTCCATGCTGCCATTCAGGCAGGGGAAAGTCAGGATTTATTGGCAATGGTCCCCAGTGGGATCGGGGGAGCTCACTGCACCCCACTGTGCTGCTCAAGCCCGTGTCTGCCAACTTGAAAGGCAGATCGGGTGCAACCTGGGAGTGTCCTTGCCATGGACAAGCCTCCATCTCTGGCATGATTTGCGGTTGGTTCCTCCATAATTTGGACAATTGGCATGAATCAAGAGGTCTCCTGGACTGACATATGCTAATAGGCTACAATCAATCAGCTGCCAAACGGACTGGGCTTGGCTTTTTGAAGGTAGCTGAATGTTTTCTTAGAAGCTTGAGAATCCTTACAATGGCCAAGAAAGAAAGGGAGAGGACAAGGTGCTTTGTGCATTCTTATGCTTTCTTCTGGTTTTAACTGTGTGCCAAGGAAGAACTCCAGACCGGAATTTTAATGGCAGAGTTTGGATATGTACTCTGTGAGTTATTTATGGCTGCGGCTGGTACACTAGTCTGTAAACAGTGGAAGGAATGGAATGTGACCTTGTACCATCCAGATCATGGGAAGGCAAACTAAGGCCTGGGCTGGAACCGGCCCAATCGCCTTCTAAATCTGACCCACAGACAGTCCGGGAATTATTGTGTTTTTACACGAGTAGAATGTGTCCTTTCATTTAAAATGCATCTCTGGGTTATTTGT